ATTGGATGTATTATGATTTGCTTGCTTTTCCTCATAAACTTATAAAATATTCTCAAATTTTGTTTGCTGTAGATAATGATTTTAGTGCATAGTTGTATAATAGCTTTATAAGGGGCCTTAGGTATCATCTGGTTTAGGCTCTCATTTTGCATGTAAGGAAACTGAGGCTAAGTGAGGTGAGTCAGTTGCCCAAGATGTCATGACTTTGCAGTGTTAACCTACAACTGGAAACCAGGCCTCAGTCCAGAGTTGCAACGTGTTAAGGTTGATCACGCATGAGTTTGTGGAGTCGCAAACCTGGACATGCATTGTGATTCTTCCAATAGATGTGTGTGACTTTGGAAAGTTAATTTCTCCAATCTTTGATTTTTTTTTTTCTTTTGTGAAATGGAGATATATTCCTTCATAGGATTGTCATGAGGATTAGAGATGGTAAATATAGAAAGCAATGTTGAAGACATTCAGATGTTCCCGGGCCATATTTCTTCTTTTCAGATTTACATTCTTTATCATATACAAGGGCGATTCAAAAAGTTCATGAAAAGATTCATATTATCTTTTAATTCTGTTTTCCATGAACTTTTTGAAGTACCCTCCTGCATAGAATATAATAATGCACATTGATTTTGAAAGGGCTCCTTTCTTCTCTGAACACACAGTATTGTAACTATCATAAAATTAATCTGCCTAAAATTGATGCTGTTTATAAGAAATTTTATCAAGCACATTTAATGAGTAATAATTTGCTTGTTGGAAAATGTAGTAGAACTTTAAGGAGATAATTTGGTTGGCACAAGCCCCTTAAAAAAATCTTTTGTTAGACTCGGTGTTATATATTTTCTTCTGGTAAAGTAGCCTATGGAGCTCCTGAGCCTCAGAGACACACTCCGTTTTATTTAAAGGACCCTAACCAAAATGTCAGTGGTAATCTGTGGGTGATGATTTTTGTTGGTGGTTTCTTAAATTGTTTTTTTTTAATATTCTAATGTTTTTAAAAATACTGTGTACAGTGAAGATATGTAATGGGGGGTTGGGAGTGTTAGTTTTATTTGCTAACTATTTTAATTGGTCCAGTCTTTTTAATTTGATTAGGCTTGTTTATACCACCGTGGGAAGTGAAATGATCTTTAGATCTGTAAAAGCTCTTTTAGTTCTGACATTCTAGAATGTGACATTGATTGTAAAGATTTGGAAGATAGAATTTCCCTGAATCTAGTTTTCTTTTGTTTTGATTTTTTCTTTTCTTATTACTTGCCAGGACATCAAGGACATTCTTGAAGGAAAACATACTGAAGGGTGGGCAACAAGAGAAGGATCTGTAGGAGGGATTATGTATTCAAAAGATTGAGTGGTTTATGGGTGAGAGCAGCCTCAGTTTGGGAGCTTCTTCTTCCTTCCTGCTTTGGGATAAGAGATGGTTAAAAATAATACTAATAATACTGGTCATAGCTGACACAAAATTCTTACTATGTGCAGGGCACTTTTCTTAGTAATTTAAAATTTTTAGCTCTTTTAATCCGCAACAGTCCTCCAAGGCACTATTACTACCCTCAGTTTATATATGAGGAAGCTGAAGTTCTGGGAAGTTAAGTAACTTGCCTGAGGTCCATACAACTAGCAAGTGATAGAGCTTGGATTTGAACCCAGTCAGTCTTGCTTTAAAGTCTGTGCTCTTAATTATATGTTATGTGGCCTTTGAAATCTGTGAATGAGTGAATAAATGTTCTGAGAATTGAAGTATTGATACCACTTGCATGTCACTTTTGCTAGAGAGATGGACTCTAGGCAGGAGTCTGTGACGCATTTAGGATATGAATTAATTCAACAGGTATTTACTGAGTATCTGCTTTGTGCCAGGAATAAGACAGACAAGGTTTATTCCTTCAAGGAGCAGATGTTCCAGGGGGAAATCTGACAATAAACAAGTAAACAATTAGACAAGATAATTTCAGAATATCAGTGCTGTGAAGAAAAGTAACTGGTGTAGTAGATTGCAGGGATGGGGTCTTGTCACACAGTGCTTAATATCATATATTGATTTATGGTGTTGGATATTATCTTCCAAACATTTTTTTCTAATTAACCCTACAACCGCTGAATTAAAGGAGAATGTTAAACCTAAAAATGAATTTATTATACAAATCTTCAGTTATCTTTTAAATTCTTTTAAACTCATAAAGTTGGAGTGTGTTATACTACTGAAGAAATAGAAACAGAGAAAAATGCTTTTTAAAAATCCAAAAAAATCAAAATAATGGCAGGCAACAGCTACCCTGCATGCCAGGCTTTAGCATGCCAGGCTGTTGGGCTGATGGAGTGGTCCCTGGCTACTGTCCATAGTGCAATATTGGCAGTTCTGTTTTTGTATGTAAGTCAGGGTCATCATGTGCCAGCCTATGTATATTTTCATCTTCCTTCATTTTTTGTAGAGTCTAGGGCAGGAGACTCAAGTCATATACATCACTCGAAAAGAGTTCTAATGTAATCATAATTTATAATAATAGCAGTTTTCATATTGAGTGCTTTCTATGTGCCAGACATATTTCATCATTACAGATTATTTTGTTTGTTTATGAAGAAAGAGGAGAAAACCTAAAGGAGTTAAGTAACTTGTCCAAAGTCACACAGCTAAAGAATGGTAAAGCCAGTATTAAACCCAGGTCAGTCTGACACCTAGTTTATGTGATCTTACCTTTTAACTAGACTGGTTTTCATGGTCCACTTCACATAGAAAACTATGCAAGAGCTTTCAAAATTGAACTTCAAAGAGCCCTCTCAACTTTATCAAATGGAAGGGCAGTGAACTCTCCAGGTTTTCCAGTTCCAAATTTCTAGAGTGATTAGGTTTCAGAGAGCAACCAGTAGAGGGGAAGTGCTTTATGAGTATGTGTATGCAAAGTTGATGTGTATCTGACATCTTTTGATTAAGTATATGGCAGTCAGTATTTTCTATTTAAATCATTTAATAGAACTAGAATTAGTTTAGGAAAGTAATAGATTAACTTGAAATGTAATTTTCAAGATTTTTGTGCTTTTTGCTGTATTTGGTGTCCTTATGAATGCATTGTAATCTAGCCTTTAATTTGTTATTTTTCACTGCTATTTTACAAGGACAGCCAGTTTCTTTAATCTTAAGAAAGTAAGTAGAGTATAGATTCCTGACTGGCTAACTGTTAATTTCCACTGTTTTACATTAAATCACTTTGATGTTATAGTTTAATTTTTGTGATCCTTAACCCCTAAAAACTTCCCATTATGAATTTTGAATTCATTTTATTTAAAAGTGTGTGTTAAATTCTCTATTACACAGTCCAATTTGGTAGCCACTAGGCACATGTGTTAATAAGCACTTGAAATGTGGCTAGTCCAAATTGAGATGTGTTGTAAATGTCAAATACACACTGGATTCTAGAGATTTAAAAAAAGTAAATATTTCAATTTTTATGTTGATTACACATTGAAATAATTTGAATTTGTTGAAGTAAATAAAATATTGTTAAAATCCTTTTCACCTTTTTACCGTTTTTAATGAGGCTACTAGAAAATTTTAAATTCTATTTGTGGCTTGCATTTGTAGTTGCCATTATGTTTCTGTTGGACAGTACTAGTTAGTAATATCAAATGAATTCTGTACTACAAGAATTAGACAAACCCAGCGTGTCTAGCTTTTTTCTTCTAAAGATTAAAACTTACCTAATTAGACCGTTGTCATAATAAGAATGTTTATTTAAATAATTGGAACTGCATTGGTTGGGCTTAAAGAAAATCTGTTGCTGAATAACAAAGAGGATATATAAGCCTCCTGTGGAAACTCCCCGCCCTGGGTACAGCTGTTGCTAGGGGAGATGTGATTTAGAGCATTCATTAGGATGATAGGTTGAAGAAACAGAAAAGTGTTTGAATATAATTGGTTTAATATGATACTAATAATGCAGGTCATAACATAACTTTAGTGAATCAGACATTTCCTTTTATGGGAAAGCATAAACCACATTGATTCAAGATATTTTCTTAAAATGTTTCAAATATTTAAGATGTTTAAGATTTCTTTAGTTTTATTAAGAATAAAATAGAAACAAAATTGAAGAAAAATGGTGTTCATTAGTCTGCAATATTTTTTTTAATATTGATAGTCTTTATTTTTTGGCCTCAATGTAATTTCATATTAGGAAACTGGGTAAGATTAACTATTTGATTAACTTTTAAAATATTTTCTTAAATAAAAATAAAAATTACTAAGTTTCATAGGAACAGTCTATTCATAAGCCATACAGTAAGTCTACTTATAGTAAGTATGAATAATTTATTTATCTCACTCCTCTTGTATTACTCTTGTAAGAGTTGAAGAATTAGTTGGAGTTTCTGTACTGTAAAGTTATAGTTGTTAATTTTTAAAAACTATATTAACACTATATTAATAACAATATATTATGTTAATTTTTAAAAACTATATTAACACTATATTAATAACAATATATTATGTTAATTTTTAAAAACATTAGGTCATATGCTAAATACGTTCAAAATTTTTAAATTTGAAAGTATTTGCTTTTATTAGTATTTGATTTATTACTTGAAGTTTGTACTTGTTCTTCGAGGCATCTCTTAGGAATAGATGTTTTTGTGTGGGCAGTGGGAAGAGGATGTGTTAAGGCAGCATAGCTTTATCTACGTTCAAAATTTTTAAATTTGAAAGTATTTGCTTTTATTAGTATTTGATTTATTACTTGAGGTTTGTACTTGTTCTTCGAGGCATCTCTTAGGAATAGATGTTTTTGTGTGGGCAGTGGGAAGAGGATGTGTTAAGGCAGCATAGCTTTATTATCACAGCTCTATTTAGTTGACAGATTTACCTCCCAACTTTGTTCACTGGCAGCACAGCCAAGGAAAAAGTGAACCAGTGATATTCTTTAAATTGGCCTATTTAAGGGATTATTCAGCCTAAGATTCTACTTTCTTATACATAAAACTGTTAATATATTTTAATATTAATTTTACAGATCCTTCTGCTGAGGAATTGAGAAAACTAATGATGTTGCATGGAGGTCAATACCATGTGTATTATTCCAGATCCAAAACAACACACATTATTGCCACAAATCTTCCTAATGCCAAAATTAAAGAATTAAAGGGGGAAAAAGTAATTCGACCAGAATGGATTGTGGAAAGGTAAGTTTCATTTTGATTAAATTAAATTGATAAGTTTTTAAAAAATTGGTATGCTTTCTATTTCTATTATAAATATTTATCTAACATATTGCCTCTATTGACAGGGTGAAAAATAATTAACATCTTAAACAACACTACTGTACTTTCGCTGCGGGTAGAACAGGGATCCAAACCCTTGACCCTGAGCATTATAACACTGAGCTGTAACCAACTAAGCTAACTGACTAGCTCTATACTACATTACTTTTTAACCCATTGATAGTTCAGGTAGCCTAGAATTTGGCATCCTATTAAAAGTAGTATGTTAATGTTCTTGTGCCCTCAGCTGCCAGAAATTAGGGATGATGACTCAAGTAAGCAGCAGGAAGTAGTTGTGGGAGGGAGTTGAGCAAGCATGTTACTCATTCAACAAATAATTTGTGCACCTGTTATGGGCTAGGCACCTATTATGGGCTATGTACTTGGGAAATGTCAGTGAACAAAGATCTCTCCTGTACCTCTTGGAGCTTACATTCTGTTGGGAGTGATAGATAATAAATAATCTTAATATATGAGTATATTATACAATATGTTTTAAAATCATGTATTGTATGGTTTTTTTTCCCTTAGCATTTTTTTTTTTTTGGTGTGTTCAGTACTGTATCAATTTCTTTGAAGTGCTCTTATGTAACTTTGCTTCCTTGCTTTCTCTTTATCTCACAGGGCAGACTTTCTCTGACATGAGACAGATTAGGGTTTTTTTCCTTCCTCTTTTAGTCATTTCCAATTTGTCTTCTTTTTTCTTTTCACTGGCGTGATCATCTGTGAGGATTAGGTCTACTTAGAGTTGGCTGTCATTCCGTGAGATAGTTGGGCAGTGCCCGGGCCAGCCCAGAGTTTGCATCTGATTCGTGTGTGACTTTTCTGTGTAGTCAGACTGTCATTACTAATAATAAACCAAGTTGGTATTAGGACGAGGGATTTTAGACAAAGCCTTGGTAATGACTGCGGTAGTCTCACCTGTGCCCTGGTCCTATGTATGGCACCCCTTCATCTTGAGTACGAGTTTTAATTGTGTTAATGCTGTGGACATTTCCAAGTGGAATGAATTACTGGTCTGTAATTTGGATTTTGGTTCCTGTTACTTAGACAGTTTTCATGAATGCAAATGAATTACGTCTTTATTACAAAGCATTACGAAGCAAACGTCAAGAGAAGCCAGGATGTGAACTTAATTTTGGCACAGGTCCTGCATTTTATAAGCCTATTATCAGGAAACTTGGTCCAAATTACCATGGACCACTGTGGCATCTAAATATGCTTTTCTTAGAAATGAAATGTCATTTCCCTTGTCAACAGGGCAAGTGTCCTCATTTTTCTAGGTGTAAATTTTACTGAACTACCTCTACACATTGACCTGGTTCTTACTTTATATCTACTTGTGTAACAGTTGGCCCCATTAATAGGTTAATCAGTATAGTCTGTCAGTTTTTTTACTGAATGAAACTAACTGGCCTCAGAACTTTAATCCCATTGTAGCAGTATTGGATTTAATTCGTATAAATTCGTATAATGTATGCTATACGAAGTTATTACGCCTAGCCCAATGCCTGGCACATTGTAGTGACATAACATATGGAAGCTACTGTTGTTGTTTTCTCTTTATTCTGTAAATATTGGCAAGTATTAGAAAGCAAATTACAAAAGTTCAAAAGTGCATTACTACTTCCAGAAAGCCAAATGTATCTTACACATAAAGAGTTCTTTAAACCTTGGGAAATTAAAGCTGAAGGCCTGTCCGTAGAACATCCCACTGATTTCTTCTCTTGCACTCTGTTCTCATGACCTAGCTACTGTCTATCTGTTATATAGGATTGATGAACATAGCTTTTGGCTGTGTGTCTCATTATAAAGGACTTGTGACGTTTACAGGATAAGAAGTTGGCATCACTCCAGCATTGAGCTGTGTTGTCACAGGTGATGCTATCATTGTGCTAGGGATAGAATTTTGATCTACAATAATAGTTTGGCTTTGGAGGAAATGGGAGAGATCCATGGACAGTAGGCAAGTGGGATGGCGAGTGAGGAAGGGCTTTTATTGGGTGGGACTTGATTTGCTTGGAAAATGATGTTTTTCATTACATCTGTTTTCTTTACAACTGTTGTTCTTGCTGAGTGCATCTAGGGAGATAATAAAATAGAAAAAGCAATTGAAATAGTTAAGTTTTAAAATTCAATTTAATGGATTTTATTTTAGTTTGGAGTCAGGTTTTTAAGTAATTGAAAGTGACTTTGGACATAATGATTATATGGCCTATTGGCCTCTTTTTTTATATGAGAAAGCAGGGCCAGTAGGGTTAACTGATTTTCCCAAGAACAGAGCAAGATTTAGAATCCAAGTTTTTTGACTCCTGTTTGGGTCTGTTCTTTGCCACTTAGTTAAGCTTGATATAGATGAGTTGGCCTACATGGAAATGGATCAGTTTGGTTATATATCTTAATATATAAAAGAAATGCTAAGTGTCTATGATGTCATTACAGCATGGAATCTGCAATGCTGTTTTTTTTCACACTCTAATTCCAATCTTGTTGATCTCTTCTTCTTTTTTTTTTTTTTTTTTTTTTTTTTTTTTTTTTTTT